GTGAAGTTACTGGAATTGCAAGTGCAGGTAATGCCACACTGGACATAACAGGAAAATATCTCGGATTCACATCTCCATATTCAAAGGCTATTATGCTCTCATCAGAAGGCACATTACGTGCCACGTACAAGTCAAAATCATCCTTGAAATCTTGTCTTGAAAGGGAAAATACAGACTATTTTTGTAGTTGCTAAAATTGTGTGACACCTGAACCTTGACAAATGGATCAAACACTTTACAGTTAGCAAGAAGAAATCTTAATCCACGGGGTACACTGCAGGATATGGGCGCCTTCAGTTTACTTTGAAATTTTGATGCAGAAGCATGCATTGTAGATTAAAGGACTTGCTTTTTGGAGCCCTTTGACTTGAATTCTACTTCTTTTAAGGGATTAGCTATATCAGTAGCAACATGTGAATCGCAGCGAAGGGGCATATCAATGTGATGTATCAGGGTGTCTTTGTTTCCATTTGCAAATGAACCCTGTGGAGTTTTACCAAAAAGAGAAAGAAACGTTAACTTGCAATACAATCCGCACTGGTTTCCATTGTCCTTGGCTATCGGGCATAGTTTCATTGCCTTCTTTGAGGTGACTGAATGCTCTTCTTTAATGAGGAAGTCTGTCATGTCCCAGTGCGCATGGAAGAATTTTGCTGCCTTGAGACAGGAAAAGCAGTGTGTTGGCACAACATGATGGGGGGGACATGCAAACCCGATGGACTCACATTGTTGCTTGTGCAGACTTTAAAAACTGCTAGCCATTGCCTGTTTGCATGTTTAAATATCGCTGGAAAATGTACTACGCTTTTGTGGTATGTAGTTGTGGACAGGATTTGGGATATCAGAGTATTTGGGTTATTTTTACACACAATGTTTTTCTTTCCTGGGGTTTCCCCCTCTGCCTCTGCTCAAAAAATATTAAAGGATTTATTCAAATTTAAAGCAGCGTATTTTGAAAGGTGTTGTATCTCAGATATTTCTGGATCAAATGAACAATGATCTCTAGAAAGGAATAAATATGTTCAAGAATAACTTTATATTGTCCCCAAATTGTTAATCACTCGCTGAAAGACCAGACGTGGGAACTGGGGCCACTGGAGGTGGAGAATAGTGAATGGAAGGAAAAAACCCATGTCCATATAAACCAGTACCATGATTTAGTATAATCATATTCTGGAGATTGCTGTGACACTGAAAAAGGCTGTAAGGCCCAGTTGATTTCCAGGGGTATAAATCACAGGGAAGTCAGTAGCAGAGGCAACCAAGTAATCCAGGGCAGGATTGGGCCTGCAATGTTTGGTGCTGTCATGGTGGTTGTATTTGGTTGCTGAAAGTCAGAGTTGGAGATGGCCTGGCCCTTTGAATAGCAAACGGGTCTGCAGAGCAACCACGTGATGCAGTTAGCAGGTTCCCACCAGAGCCTGTCAGTGTCCCTGTCCTCTCTGCAGGGTTCTGGATGCTGATGGTGCAGTTGGGTGGGCATTAATGGGAGGAGACCCCAGTAAAGCTGCCAGCACCTCCAATGCTCAGTACCAGCTTGAGTAAAAACAGATGAATCTTCAACCCCTCACTACTGTCCCCAGCCCTAAAAATATGTCAAATGCCCTTAGACAAAGGAGGAAATATGTTGTTGGGCTTCTTCCTATATTGGCTCACTTGTGAACCTGATAACTGCCCAGTTTCTCCTTCAAAAGCCCCATGTTGCTGTGACCTTCCCTCCATCCGAGGAAGGCTGGATGCTTCCAATAGCTCCTGTCTGTTATTCCCAGCCTCTCCACATGGTAATGCTGCCAATAAAGCTCTGGGAGGGCTGGTTCTGGTTTAATTCTGAGTTGCTCAGACAGGTTTTACAAGACAGCAAGAAAAGAACTGTTTTGGGGAATCAGGGAATAAGATCGTTTGTGCAGGAAAATATGACCCCCAATTCAGCTACTCCAAAAAACCATTTCTCTCTGGAAAGAAATGTCTTTAGCAGTAATCTTGCCTGGCTTGGCACTATACGTCACTGTGCTAGTGTTGTGTCAGGAGTCACCAGGTGGCGCTGTGATACGTATTCTTTCAAGTTGTTTTTCTGAATGTGCGAGCGGCTATGTAGTTTTGAGAAGACATGCTGTGATGTTGTTGGTTTTGGTTATGCGAGGTTGTGAGGAAAGGGAGCTGTATGAGAAGCAGGAGAGTTTCTCTGCCTTGGTGTCTGATTAGAGTGAATTTTTGAAGCAGATGTGCAGTCTAGGAACTGGACATCTGTGTTGAGATAGATTCCCGAGAGAAGGGTTTCCCTGCAGGCTGCTTGTGATTGCCTCTCTCCCAGGTCTGGTGTATATGTGTGAATAAAAGAAATTATGCTTGGGATACTCAGACTCCACATCACTGATTTTCCCTCCACTGAGAAGCTGACCTGCAAGTCTGGGACATTTGCTGCCGCTTGGCACTGGGTCGACATTGGTGCTACAGGTGGGACACTGGTGATGGGAAAGAGTCAGCAGTACTATGGACAGTTCAGCAGGGGGAGCAGAAGGACTCTGTGGTGCTGAAAGATTTTTCGAAACACTGTCTGAAAGCTAGGTAGTGGTTACACTATGGATAGGAAGCAGCTGTTACCCTGAAAGGAACAGGATGGAGGTTTTTGTATTGGCCTGTATCACTGTGAGAGGTGAGCTGTGAGACTGCTGACAGTAATAATCTCCAGCATCTTCAGCTTCAACCTTACTGATTGTGAGAGTGAAATCAGTGCCAGACCCGCTGCCGCTGAACCGGGCTGGGACTCCAGATTGCAGGGAGCTTCCAGCATAGATAAGGAGTTTCGGAGCTTGTCCTGATTTCTGTTGGTACCAGGCTAAGTAGTTATTGCTGCCAATGCTGACACTTGAACTGGCTTTGCAGCGGATAGTGACTGTGTCTCCAGGAGACACTGCCAGGGATTCTGGAGTTTGAGTCATCACAATCTGCCCATTGGAATCTGAATTGAGAAACAGAATATAAATTACTATGTACATGTATAGTCTCTCTTTCTCTCATATATGTCACGAGTATAGTTAATCAAAATATACAATACTTTGATTTTATAAACTTTCCCACGTGCCTCTTTACATACGTATGATAGCATCGTTGTCAGAGGATGAACTAACATTAAGTTTGAGGTGGCTGTTTCATTCCAAGCTGCCTTCAATTGCTTGTATTTCCCTCGCAGTTCCAATGAAAAGGAGAGACCCTTCTCAGAAGTTTCTGTCACTAACTAATGTTTATGGATTCATACAGAACATTCCTAGATCTGTAAAGTTTTTCTATGGATCACTGTAGCTTAAATCATCCCATGCCCCCTTCATTTGATTCTTACCCTGGATCCAGAACACTAACAGCCAGATAAACTGAACCGGAGAGACCATCTTGCTACGTCTGACTGGCGTGATGCAGATCAGCAAACTGTAATCAGCGACATGGAACATTTATACTGGCCCAGAGCTGCAGGGCAGCGTCTCCTGGGTGTGAAATATGCAAACTTAGTTCAGAGAAAAAAATCCCAGCTGACCTAAACACGTGCAGAAAAAGGGAAATGAGAGACCGTGGATGAAATAGGCAAGTTCAACCTGTCTGGCCCTGGGAACGCATCCTCAACTTTCATTAAAATGGCAGTTCTGTTAATAGTGATGATGGTGTCCCGAGGTCCCGGTCTTGATCAGGACCCTATTTTGTTGGGTGCTGAACTACCCCATATTAGGTTACAGTCCCTGCACCTCACTTTGTGTTGAAATGGCCTGTGTCAGGGTGGAATGGGAATACATGTTCTCAGATCATCAGTATTGCTTGGTAGCTC